AAAAGGAGCCCAGGAGGAGGGGTGAGGAGACAGACAGCTTGTTTTGTCCCCCTCCCCCCAAAGTTTGGGGCTATTGTCAGGCCAGTCTCTCTCTCCACCAAAGCAGTTGAGCTAGAGTTTTCTAGTTAAATTGGGCTTGGGGTGGGGGCCACAAAGGGCCCATGGTGCCATTTCTGTTTGTTTTCCCAAATCAAAGCCCCAGCAGGGCTCCAATGGTACTGCTGGGCTGCTATTTGAAGAGACCGGACCATTTCCCAGAGCCTGGTGTGTCAGTTTATGCTCTGAACTTAACCTCACAGGCACTGCACAACAGAGCCTTGAGGGTCTCGAGTCCAGAGGCAAAAGAAATTGTATCTTTTTATTGGCCCATTTAAAGTGTGTGTGGCCATTTCAGAGAATCAAGAGAACACAGCAGAAAGCAACTCCTCAGCGCCTGGCCAGACCAGGCCAGGCTAACAGATGAGGGGTTCAAGGGACTTGTCCCAGCCCCTAGGGGCTGCTACTTACTGGGCTCTTGGTTCTCCCCCAAAGGGTTAGGAGCCCATGGCCTATTCTGTATTTATTAGTGGCAGCTCTGATGCTGAGGCAGGGCTCAGGTTGGCAGCCCAGTCAGGATGTTCCCCTTTGCACTGCTGACCCTGCCTAGCCCTGTAGGTGCCTGGCTGTCCTCCCCTCAGGAGAGAACCCCAGGACTAGGGTGGGCAGGCAGCGCCGTGCTGGGCTCCACTCTGCTCGTTCTCCGCCTTTCATCTTCTATTTCAAACAGACAAACGTGAAATTACTCCTACAGATTAAAGGAGAGAGCGCCTCAGTCATTCCTTATGGCCTCACTAATGGAGGGGGCAGGGCCCCCAAATCTGGAAGTAGAGAGAATTGTGGAGTACACAGCCTTCACCTGGTGTGCACAATGTATGTGTGTGCCTGTGAGAAGGAAAGAGCAAGACCCCTACTCCCCACCCACAATAGATTGCCCTGCCTAGTGTGATATGGCTGGTGTCCCAATTGGGAAGGCAGAGCTTCTCCGAGAGCAAGGTCAGTGACCTCTAGGGGATTGGGCAACCCTTCTACCTGCTCCCTTTCAGAGCCCCCAACAGACAGGCCTGTTTTCTCCCCAGCCTAGCACAGGGCCACTAAGAAGAACTTCCTTCTGGAGGAGGCTGGGCCAGCGGGAGGGACTTGGGGCCTAAACCTACACTGGACAGCAGCAGTGCTCCTTGCTGGGGGTTCACAGGGAAAGGCTGGGTGGTAGAATGGAACCCCCCAGCTTCCTTCAGCCTTTAGAGAAGACGGAGGCTCATTTGGGGAGTGGGAGGGTTGAGGGTCAGCAGCCTAAGTAAGGGGGGAGGCCTGGGGCAGAATCTGCCTTTGGACATATGGCTGGCAGCCTTGCCTTATCTGCCTCAAGCTCTTTGCCGAACACTGCCGGGGGCCATGAAGTCATCCCTACACCAGGCCTGGGCCTTTTACCTGAGTTCCCCTGTGGAGAGTCCATGACCTTGTTTTTCCTGTCATGCGAGGAAGGAGGGTCCAGCATCTCATAGGTAAAGGAAGTGGAGGCATTGGGCCCAGAGGGTGCCGCCTTCTTCATTCCCCCAACATTCTGCAGAAACTCAATACTTCTACCCATCCCCTAGCCACAGGGATTAGCGGGTGCACTTGATGTTGAAGGGTAGTTGCTAGGGCCGGGAGGCCCCCCTACATGGTTGCTAGGGGTCTGGCATGGGGCGAGGGGTCTGCCCACTGCCGCGGTCACGGAGGGAATTACACAGTCACAAAGAAATTGTTCTTCTCAGTAATCTGCTCCTGGCCTCCGGGTGGGGTGAGGGTGGGGGAGCAGGCTGGAGCCCAGCAGGCTGGGGGCTGTGATCACAGAGGCGTGCTAGCCCCAGGCTGGGGGCCAGAGGGCCGGGAACACCAGGGACCAGCATGCTAAGCTGCTTTCTCAGCGATTTCTCTCCTCGGACACAAAGGTGTTTACTTGTTTTAACATCTCCTGGGACTCCCCTTTTCCCTTTGTGTGGTCTTTATCCCCAACGAGGTTTGAGCCCCAGATTACAGGCAGGAATTAAGGCATTGGTCTCAGGCAGCTCAGAACTGCATGACCTGCAGGATCAAGGAGTATAAAGTAACCAAGTGTGTGCACGTGAGGGGGGCCGACCCCTTTGGCAAGGCCATTCACGGCCCTGAGAAGGAGCGGCCGGGTGGTGGGTGGGCAGTGCAGGTGTGGCTGCAGAGCTGCTGTGTCCATCCCATTGAGGCTTCAGCTGGGGGCTGGGATGCTGGGGGAGGGGTGGGCACTGGTGCTGTTGGGAGTTTCCTAGCTGAGGAGGGCGGGCCGTACATCCCAGGGGCCTGATGCCAGCTGCAGGAGGAAAGAATGTGCACAGCCAAGGTGGGGCAGCCTCTTACCCTCTGCCCTTCCTCTCCCCAGTGGGCAGCTGATGACACACCTGGGCAGTGACTTTCCACCAGGGGCTGGGGTGCTAGATGTCATGTATGAGTCCCCTTCCACACTGCTGTCCTGTGGCTACGACACCTATGTTCGTTACTGGGACCTCCGCACTAGTGTCCGGTGAGTGTGCTAGCATGGGAGGGAGGATATGTGGTGGGAGCCTGGTGCCCATCCCAGTCCTCCCTCCAGTCCTGGGTCAGCCCACGGGACAAGAACAGAGAATCCATGTCAGGATCTGGGAAGGAAGGGGCCAGTAAGGTCACATCAAGCTTAGACTCTCTACTCTGGTCCCTGTGGCCTGGGAAACTGTGGCCAACAAGCCCTGATAAGGACAGGCATTTCTCAGAGCCTCCCCAGCTATCAGGTATGGTACTGTCCCTCAGTATTCTGCCCCAGCCTTTAAGTAAGGCCTTTATTCTCCCCATCACAGGTTCTATGACATGTATCCATACCATGTGAAAACACAAACGAGGGTGTTTGCTCTATGGTTAGGGCTTGGAGAGTGTCCTTTAAAGAGGATGCCTTCTCCTACTTAAGTTTGGTCAGTTAAGAATCTCTCCTCCAGTCCAGTGTGGCTCTGTAACCCCTGCCCCACAGCTCTTCTAGGAACCTGAGGAAGCTAGGTCGGGCACTGAACCTCCCCACATCTCCTCTTCCTGGACAGAAAATGTGTCATGGAGTGGGAAGAACCCCACGACAGCACCCTGTACTGCTTGCAGACAGATGGCAACCACTTGCTGGCCACAGGGTCCTCCTACTATGGCGTTGTGCGGCTATGGGACCGGCGTCAGAGGGCCTGCCTGCACGTAAGTATCCTGCCCACCTCATGCCTCTGGGATGCAGGACTCATTATGGGCCACATCTGGGAGTGGGTGATAGAGCCAAGGACATGCCTAGGAAGGGCTGGAGGAAGCCTACAATGGCACATGTCCCTGTTTCACCAGGCTTGAAACTCTAGATTGGGGAAATCCCCATTTCCCACTTGGAAAGTTCATACCTCTTCATGTGACCTCCCTTCTAGGCCTTCCCGCTGACATCTACCCCACTCAGCAGTCCCGTATACTGCCTACGGTTCACCACCAAGCATCTCTATGCTGCACTGTCCTACAACCTCCACGTCCTGGACTTTCAAAACCCATGACAGGCCACCCTGCCTGCCGGCCAGGGGAGTCAGCTACTCAGGGACCTCTTTTGCTTGGAGGGTGCAGTGATACCTCCTCCCACCACCCCTACTGTGCTCCTAGACTTGTTGCCACAGTGTTCAGGTGTCTGAAGCTAGAGGCCATGGCTCCTGGGGTACCAGGGCTCACCTAAGGATACAGCCCCTCCCAGAACCAGTGGAGGCACAGGACCTGCTGCTCTGGGAGAATGCAACTGAACCCGTGGCCTTGCACCCATCTTACCAGAGCAAGGACCTATCCTGGAAAGGCCAATCCTGCCACCATATCTTCATAGGGCCATGGCAGCCACAGAGTGAGGTGAGGCACTCTAGCCTTCGCAGATGGCCCCTTTCTGCCCTTCCCTGGAAGGAGAGGTGAGGCTGCCAGTGCTCCTGCTGGCATCAACCAATCCTCAGACTCCACCTTTGACCAACCTCTTAGGGCTGTGAGCTCATTCCTGGGACAATGTGACCTAGTTTTGCTTTGAAGCCAAGAAAGGACAAAGGGAACCTAGCAGTTTTGAGTGAGTTCTGAGCTAGCCCTACCTCAGGCCAGCTATGGAGATATGTTATTCTTTTCATTTTTGTAAAAATAAAGCTTGATTGTTCACAGACCTTGTTCTTCACTCATGAGGCTGTTCTAAGAGGTCGAGGCCAGCTTGGTGGCGCTTCATTCTTTATGCCAAAGAACAAAGGTGTCTTCTTCCTAAAGAACTCCCACCGACCACCTGCCCGTCTAGCCTCAAGGGAGGACTGTGGAAGGACTTTAAGATGCTGGGGCATAAAGCTGTTGTCACCTGTGGTGACCCTTCTTTCACCCTACCTCAACACATAGCAACACTGTGACCCTTATTTTGGCTTTTCACCCACAATGTCATAACATCCTATGCTCTATTTTCAAGGTTTCTGCATTTTTAAAACTTCCCCCTTGCCTACATCTACCTTAGGAAGTTTCTTATAAACTACTAAGCTACTACTTTTTTGTTGTGATGGAACTGAGGATTGAACCCAGAGGTGTTCTAACACTGAGTTACATCCCCACCACTTTTTGAGACAGGGTCTGTTGTCCAGGCTGGCCTCAAACTTATGATACTCCTGTCTCGGCTTCCCAAGTAGTTGAGATTGCAGGCATATGCCACTGGGCTCTGCTCTTCTGGGCCACTCCTACAAACCAAGCTAGAACAGGGGCCTACCAGCCCAGATTCCCTCTGAGTTTATGAAGACAGGTTGGGGAGACACCCTGCCCTACTGAAGTCACGGGCTCTTAAGCTCTTCTCCTTTTAGGTTCCCAGGATAGAGAAGGGAATGCCACACCAGCACCCTCTGTAGGGAGAGCAGTGGGGCCCAGAGGCAGGCAGCCTACAGAGGTGGACAAAACGACAGTCCATCTGCAATAACTCAGAATGACTTTACTCAGGAAACAAGACCATGAACAGGAGTTTGGCATAACACCTGGACCAGTTCCTATAGACTGTAGGTAGCTCCAAGGAGAGAGGAGGTTGCCTCATGCCGGAAAGGCCCAAGCCTGGAAGTCAGATAGTATCCTCCATGCCAGAGGAACAAAGCCGGGGACCAGCTACTGGGTCTTACAGTCCCCATCACTGTGGGCCGTCTTTACCTTCTTTAGCTCCTTTTGTAGCTCTGACTCAGCCACCATGATCTCCTTTGGCTTCTGATACTGTGAACAGATCCAGGAAGAGGACATAATTCAGTTACTATCTCCCTCCTTCCATACCCACACTTGGGCCCCTCTGTGCCCTTATGTATATAAGGAACTTGAGATGTCAGGGGGTCAAATTATTTACTCAGGTCATGTGGCTGGGTAGGAGCAGACCTTAAGCCAGAACCAAAGTTCTGAGGTTTCTACCACTTCCTTCATCATCCTTTGCCCTCTTCTAGTTGTGAACTGTGTGACCCTCCTCTCCCCGGGCTGAAATGGAGACACCCAATCCCTAGCAGGGACTCCTAGGGAATAGGAAATGGGCAGGGAAAGAGGAACCTCTCCCCAAATATAGTGGCCAAGAAGTCTGGGTAAATCTTACAGAGATTATCAGGGTGCAGTTGGCATGAGCAAAGCTCAGCAAGGAATCATCCAGAGGTAGCTGGTATCTGTCTAGGTCAGGAATGGAGAACTTCTTGTAGTACCTGTAGGGACACCAAGAGGCCATTGTGGCACCTAGCAAGGCAACCCCAACAGTTGGGCACCAGGCTTCTCTATAGTTCTTACCCACTTTCCACAAAGCTGGAAGGGAGGAAGGATTCTTACCAGTTAGAATGGCATGATTTTTGAGCTCACTGGCACTGGAAAGAAAAGTATGCCCCACCTTATGTCCAATCCAAAGAAAGAAGACCAGAACTAGTCCTAATTCCATGATTAGACCAAGGGCCTGTATGACTCATGTTGCAGAAATAAGACTCCCAAGACAGGCAGAAGCCTCCTGGAACACACACACACAGCTCAGGCAGCTTGGGACTCCTCTGCACTCCAAACCTCGTAGGCACACCAGAAAATGGGACACATGTCCTACAATGGACAATAAGGACATCTAAGGCCATCCCCCAAAGCTGGGGCCCACAGTTGCCATTTACATGGTATTTCCACTGAAGACCCCAGGTACCTTTTCCTCTTTGGGGGCCTTTCAAGGCCTTGTTAGCCTGACACTACTTGTAAGTCAGAGAAGTGTGTTTACAAGGAAAAAGCTCGCTGCGATGACAAACCATCTCCAGTTCTGGACTTTCAACCTTGCTGGCCTTGAGACCCCACCCCTCCATTTTCACACCATACATGGTGCCTGTTGTCTGCAGGTGCCAGGCAGAGATTAATGATCCCTTTTAGTTTAAAAAGAAAGAAAGAAAATCAAGCCTGTAATGTGTATGACTGAACTTCAGGGAATTTGCCCCCTTCGCTAAAGAAGAAATCCCGCTCAAAGATGAAACAGCTTGCTGCTTTTCCAGCTAGTTGTCAGTGGAGTCAGGGTTAGAGGAAAGTTCCTTGCGCCTGTTCCAATACTTATTATGCCAGAGAATGAAGAAAGGCCATCTCATCTCTAATAGGTCTATTTGGCATTTCCTTGGTGGAAATGTGGCCTGGGCCCTGGCCAGGGGCTGCCAGACCTGTCAGCTGGGCAAAGCACCACTCTGCTGCAGAGGCTGTGTGGGCTGGGAAGGGAAACACCTCAGGCAGGTACAAACAAACTCAAGTGAGGGGCCTGCAAAAGACCGGTTTTTAATACTTCAGAGGGGCCTGGTCCTTGTGGTGACAGCTACCCTGAGTCCACTTCAAAAGCCCTGATGCCCTGGGGACTCAGTTGACATCAATGCAGCACTTCTGCCCTGTCCTCCCTGCCCAAATCCCTCAGTTTAGCAAGGCTCCAGGGCCCCCTCCTCCCAGGTTCCCCACTCCCCACCAAGGTGCGAGGACCCATGGCAGGAAAAGAATGTTTACTTAAAGGCTGACAGTTCAAAAGGAGTGGGGGTTGGGGGATCCTAATGGCACCACAAGTTGCTTTCTTTTCCAAAGCTCTGCCCCAGGGAAAGGCGATCCATCTGCCTGCAACCAGCAAAGGAATGCTCTCCACATCCTCTTCCCAGCTGAGGGCTCTTCCTGAGGCCCTTGGTCTGGCCAGCAAAGGTGGCAGACACTGATAATAGGGGGGAGTCAAAGGTTAAACAGCAGAGATTAGGTGAACACAAAGGCTTGTTAGGAAGTGTTAACATCTTCCCTGCAAATATACACAAAAAGCCAAACCAGTGCTCCTCACCACCCCCCCCATTCCCCAGGCTAGGCCAGTGGGAAGGAAAATGAATCCTGAAGCTTGGTCCCAACAGCAACATCAGCATCAGAGGGAACTTGAGGTGCATAGTTTGTTCCCATTCCTTGTCCTACTCCTACTATAAGGCTAGAAGGCTGGGCACAGACCCTGAGGCTCAGCTTTGTTTTGAGTCTTACAGTAATGGATTTAATTTATTGGTGAGGTTAAACAACTTCTCCCAGGAGGCTCCTGACAGCCAGTGCTGGAGAGAATAGGGATATCTGCTTTCTTTCCTCAGGGCCAGCTGGCACCCTCCTATCTCTGTTCACCCAGGCTTGGGATTTGCCAGGACAGGGACTGCACTTGACTTTCTCATTAGCACCTGGATAAGAGAGGGACCCACTGTGCTTCTGGAAAAGTCAGAATGCTTAGCCTCAGGCAGCTACAGACATGCAGCACACATTTACTGGACATCAACTGTGTCCTAGGCCTTGAGCTGTGTGCTGGTGATTTAAGGACGAAGAAGAAACAGGCTTACCTGTGTAGACCTTGCTTGTTAATGCTAAAAGCTAAAGATATTTATAGCAGGGCAATTCCCCAGCATCCTGGCATGCCCCACTTTCTCCATCCCTACCTCCATCACTGTTCTCAGTAGCAACCAGGCAATGAACAACGACTTATTTTCCTTCCTTCCTCCTTCCCTGCACCCCCCTCCCTGGGATGAACCCAGGGTCTTGCACATGCGCTCTACCTCAATCCGTACCCCTAGTCCTGAAATGGTATGTAGCTTTGGTTTTAAACACATTTAATCCTCAAAACAGCCCTCTAAAGATCTGGACACAGTGGTGATTGCCCTCAATCTCAGCAACTCGGAAGGCCTGAGGCAAGCAAGTTCCAGGCCAACCTGGGCAACTTAGTAAGACCCTGACTGAAAATTTCAAAAAGGACTGGGGATATAGCTCAGAAGAACACTTCTGGGTTCAAACCCCAGTACAAAAAACCAACAAAACCCTCTCAGGTTGGTTATTTCTATATCATCTTTTATAGAACTGAGCACAGCAAAGTTAGGTATGTTGCTCAAGTCACAAAGCCCTTATTATAAGGGCATTCCCCCAATCTCCTAACCCCTCCATCTCCACATTCTCATCAAATAATAGATCACCTGGTCTAGATTCCCTACATTTGTCCAAGGATGGGGCAGATACTGGGTGGAAGGGCGGGGGTGTTTAGTAACAGGTTCTCTATCCCCAGATTCAACTACCCTGCACGTCTCCTGGGTACTCTCTCCAATACATTAGGGTTCATCCTTTCTGAATGTCAAAATTTAGATGAAACAGTAGGCTTGCAGTAGGTCTTCTAGCTCTGTTTTATGACCCTGGGCAGGGCACTTAACTTCTGGGCCTCAGTTTCTCGCTCTAAATTCCTTCCTAAAATCAAGGAGCTACAATAGATGAACTTTAAGTCATTGTCAAAGGGCCCAAAATGGACTAACTCTGAACCTCTCTTCTCCTTGTGCCAAATCGACAACTCCTTCATTTTGGTTATTTCAGAAATGGCCTACTGCCTCCATCTCACTACTGTATTCCCTCCCCAATTTCCAGCCCTTTCTCACCCCCATTCTCCCTTGAATTGAATAGGGGGGCACAAGAGGTTGGGCCCTCAGCGAGAGAAAGCTCTTGGAGGAGGGCTGAGACCAGAGGAGGGCTATGTGGACAGTCTCATGGGCCCCACACACCTCTACCCTGCACGTTGGCTTGGCAGAAGTATCCAGAGAAGCCTTCAGTCATTCCCTCCCAGCAGCAGGAAATCTTCCTAAAACCCAAGGCTTTGGGAAAACTGAAGCCACGCCTAGCATCTCTTGTTGGAAAGTCATAATGCATGTGCACATACACGCTGGCAGGACCCTCAGAGTCCTAATGAATTGAAGCCTGTTGAATCCAAACTGACCTAAACTTATCTGGCCATAAGATCCTTTTCTTCTATAATACATGATGCTTATTTACACCTGCCATGGTGATCATTGATGTCCAATAAGCCAAGCTCTCTTCAGATTAGTTTCCAAAGAATTGTTCAGAACTTGCTTCAGGCCAGCCATTGTACTAGGTTCTCATATGTATCTGATATCATCAAATTCCCCAAACAATCTGTGAGGCAGGTATAAGCATGTTCCTCTGATTCAGAAGGAACCCTTGCCCAAATGCTACAGTAAGAGATCAGACTTAAGCCAATATCTCCCTACTCTAGTACCCTGGCTCATGCCACTTACAACTGCCAGCTTCTAGGATGAAGCCAGAAATCTTCTTTCTACACAAACATTCTTATCAAGACCAGAAGATACATACAGGGGTCCTAGAAAAGCACTTTCTTCTCTGCCTGACTTATGCCTCATTAGTACTTGAGGCCAAGGACACAATACACTAGAATCAATTCTCTAAAGCAAAGTGGCCAACCCAGTTCTTCAGAGACAAGGCAGATATGGACAAAGCAATTCTTGTCTGGCTTTGGTCAGGAATCACATTCTATAATATGAGAATGGGGTAGGCACAGAACCTCCAGGTGAAGATAAGTTGACTCAGAGAAGAATGCCACTGTGTGGTAGAGACTGCAGAAGCCTGGGCACCAAATGAGGGTGCTAGCTCTCCTTCTGGCAAGGAAGAGAGAGTTTGTATATGGCTGACCATATACTTAACATTTACATAATTATTAACATATAACATTAGGATAAAAATATGCATCCTGCCTATCTCTGGATGACATGAAGACCAGAAAACAAATTTTTAAAGTGTCCTGAAGACATTAACACTGCTCAAAGGAATAGTGTTAAGTTTTGTTTAATGAGTGGGAATACAAGTATACGACACATTACCACAGGTAGAAAGTGAAAATTCCACCAGACTCAGGAAAGATCTAGTTAAGAGTTCAGGGGGCCTTCCAGCTACCTCTTAACAGAGGATCTGTAGAGGGGTGGGGCTGAGCCAGGATGAGACCCTGGACCAAAGTCTCCATGTTGGCTCTGAAGTGGGCACCAAAATGCTCCTCTCTCCTTTGTGGGAACCCCATCTTCCCTGGCACCACTCTAATCATACCTGGCCTCCCCCAGTGCTTCAAAAATGACTTCCTCTCCTTGGGCACTGAATGGGTCTCTAGCCATGGAGCTCCTGGCCAATAGCGCCACCTATGGCTGGATGCACGCAGGAGATGGGGCCCAAAGGATCTACCAGCAGATGAATTTTTGGTGAGCTAGCTAGCCTGTCTACTCTCACTCTTGTAATCACATTTCTGCATGATATCTGTATTCGACAGTGACCTCTGGGGGACAAAAAGGAGGCAGCAGCCAGCTCCACAAAGTGCTAAGCTGCAGATTCAAGTGCTATCAGAAGCACTTTTGTTCCCAGTTTGGACCCAGGGCCTCTTACGCCAGGGAATGCTTGCTGAAGTACGGAGTTTGTTTTCCTACAGGCAATTTCTCTGTTGTCTGAAATTGCTAAATTCCACTTTAGGCACTGACTCCTGTTAATGATGAGAGCAATAACGGAAATAAACTGCCTTTTATCTGAGGGCTTCAATGTGCTTTATAAACGCAAACCCTTATTATTATGACTTTATATTTATAGACAAGGCCCACTGCAGGGGCTGCTGGCTGCATGTACAGCAATAATCCTGAAATTAATTCATTCATCTCCACCCCTTCCCCTGTCCTCTTAACCCTGACAAAATGATGGGGTATGGGTGTCATAAGAGGAGGGCTGCACTGGAGGAGCCTGGGAGTTGCCTTGCTTCCCTGTGGGCCTTATGGACCTGAGGAAGACACAAGGAGAGGCTGGCACCACACCAGCTAAGGAGATGGACAAAGAGCTGGGGCCTCCCAAATGCATGTAAGCAGAAGATGGGTAGAAGCACCTCTAGTTAGGTTCAGCAGCCTATGAGGCATATTGGGCACAAGTATGAAGCAAGAAACCTGCCATCTTGACACCCCAATCTATTTCATGGGAATTGACACCCCCATACTCTAATCCCTCTGGTTCAGGTCAAGACTGATTCACTCCAGGGCTCTTTTCTTCTCCAATGGTCAGTCAGAGCTCCATAAACCCAAATGTGATCATCTTGAAAATGCATCTGGGTCACCTTCTGTCCTTTCAACACCCCCCCAAGTTGGCCTCCCCCCACCAGTGGACCATAAAGGGAAGTTGAGCACCCCTATTGAAACAGAATGCCAGGGACTTCCAAAAGGCCAAAGCATCTGTCCACTGTCCCTTAGTCCAAGGAGGAATTAGGGTTACTGCTGCCCAGTCCAGTATTTTAAAGTCCTTTAACTGCTACCTCAGACAGTTCCAGACCATGGCTCCCTGCCAGCTCCAAAAGTGATGTCACCAGGTCAAGTTCCCCATGGACTGGATCCAGCAATGAGGTCAAGGTCATAATTAACCTTATAGCAGAAGTGAAATCATAAGTGATTCCCTCATTCCTTTATTCACTCAACAAATATTTACTGAGCCCTAATATGTGCCAGGTACCATACTAGGCACATGTTCAAGTTCCCCTCCCTGAGGGAACTGATTACATTATTCAAGCTGCTCCTGCCCAGGGGAAGCCCTTCACTTTCAGTACCCTGGGTTTTTTGTTGGGTCTGCTTTCCTCCCTCAGAACTGGAGGAAGGAGGGTGCTCTGGCTTTGGAGTAAGCAACACTCTGGGACATGCCCCCACCCTGCCTCTGCTCAAGTACAAGCAGATAGGTGCTCACACGCAACTCACTTCTTGTTGGTTGTTCTGACAACAATGCAGCGCTCCTTCTGGGCCACACCAACGCTATAGACATCCTTAGGGTAGGGGAGGTTTCGAATCCGCCACTGGAAACTCGTCTTTGTGTCCTTACGCATGAAGATAGGCTGCAGAAGGCAAATTCAACTCAAGAACAATTCAAAGTCTCTGCCCTCAGGGTCAGAGACCCTCCCAACCTCCATAAGACACTTGGACAGACAGACATACATTGGCATTGCTTTCCTTGATGAGCTCGGGCCCCAGGCTTCCTGCTCCTGGGAGTGCTGGCTCTCCCACTTCAAGCTGCCACTGGCTCAAGGCTCCCAGCGCACTTTTCACTCGCCACTTTCTCACTGGGGACAGAAGCAAGCAATAGGATCACAGGGAAGAAAGGGTCACTGCTCTTTCCTGCTGAATCGCTGACATCACGTTAGTTCCCAAAATAAACAGGATAGAAGTAGAGCATTTAACTGGGCATTGTTCAACTGAGCAGGGATCACACAACCTGTGAAACCTCAGTGGAGCATTTCAGTATTATACAACCTACAAAGCCCAATTCATGGGTGCACAGACAAAAGGAATTGGCATGAAGTTCTAGAAGCCTAGGAGTCAAGAAACACTCAAGTACAAGGAGGACACTGAGAGTTGAAAATGGTGATTTCTGGATTTAGGAAAATTTGGATCCCCAAAAGGAAGTTTAGATGCATTTCCCTGCCTCTAAAAAATGCAAGGGAGCCAGTATGGTAGTACACGCCCATAATCCTAGAGGTTCAGGAGGCCGAGGCAAGAAGGTCAAAAGTTCAAGACCATCCTTAGCAACTCAGTGAAACCCTGTCTTAAAGTAAAAAAGGTCTGAAGATGTGGCTCAGTGATAAAGCTCCTTTGGGCTCAATCGCCAGTATCCTCACACCCCCCCCCAAAAAAAATGCAAAGGAAAAATGAATGAAGAGAGTGAAAGCTATTTGGTAATTTTGTCTCATGATTCAGAAAGTTCAGATATAGAAATTCATTCATTTCATGGGGCTGGGATTGTGGCTCAACAGTACAGCACTCACCTAGCACGTGCAAGGCCCTAAGTTTGATCCTCTGCACCACATAAGAATAAATAAATTAAAATAAAGGTATTGTGTCCAACTACAACTAAAAAGTAAATATAAAAAAAAAGAAATTCACTCATTTCAGGTATACCTGGCTTATAAAAAACTATATTATCAGGCTAGTTCAGTGGCAGAGCTCGTCTCATAAGAACAAAGTACCATGTTTAATCCCCAGCACTGCAAAACAAACAAAATCTGAGGCACACACTGTATTTTAAATGCACTATTTATAGAAGATCTAATGTGTTTTTGCAAAATGGAATTTTATATTTGCAAGTTTATAATGCAAATAACCATCTCTATTTTTTCTTGCTTTACAACCCAGCTATTTGTACAAATTTTTTTAAAAATAATTTTTAGTTGTAGATGAACACAATACCTTTATTTCATTTATTTATTTTTATGCTGAGGATCAAAGCCAGTGCCTCACCTGTGCTAGGCAAGTGCTCAACCACTGAGTTACAATCCCAGCCCCCCACACCTTTTTTTTAAGGATATATATTATGGAAACTAGTTCAATGGACATTATCTAGAAATCCCTGCTAGGATTTTCAGAAACTCCTCTCAGCCCTGTCCTAGGGACTGCTGTGGTGCAGTGGAACTACCTTTTTGGAGGCATAATCCCATTTCCTGCCTACTGTATTTGGGATCCCTGGGTCTGCCATCTCAGGGTGTCCTCCAGCCAGAACAACACAGTTACTGCTCAAGACCAGCAGCTGCCTTCTGCAGCCACTGCAGGGAGTGGAACAACTCGAAGTGCCTGGAGTGCTGCTGCCGTTGTTTCCAAGTGCAGGCTCCTTTTTCCCAGCAGGAGAGGTCATGGCTCTAGTCTGATCCTCAGCATCAGGCAAGTGGATGGTTTACCTTTAGACCTGAGCAGCTATGCCAACCCACACACCCTCACTGCTATAAGGAAAGCATGTGAACAGAACACAAAAGCATGCTGTAAAATTAAGGTTTTCCATTGAATATGTGCTTTTATAAGGTCTGCTGCATGCTGTGTATGATTTTATTACATCTTAGGGACAAAAGTTCTCCCTAGAAACACATTTCCAAGTTTATAATGAAAATTAATAAGGAAGAATAAAACTTGGAAATGTGCTTAATAGACAACTTTTTCCCCCCACAGATACTTTCTTAAGTGAATGGACTGTGACCAGGAGTATATCCAGATATATTCACTATAATATTTCACTTAATTGTAAGCCAGCCTTCTGGGGGGCCTCTATCACAACTGAAAACTCAGGAGTGACAAATACTTCCAAAAAATAGCTTATTATGACAAGACCCTTGTATCCTGCTCCACACTATCAGAAAGATTATTCCTAAATCCTTACTCAAGCTACATATAAAATGCTGTGTGCTGGGCACTGTGGCTTATACCTGTAATTCCCGCTAGCTGGAAGGCTGAAACAGGAAGATTCCAAGTTTGAGGCCAGCCTGGGCAAGCTGGCAAGAAGCAAGACCCTGTCTCAAAATAAAACAAAAAATATAAAATACAAAATAAAATTTAAAAAGTATAGGGATATAGCTGGTGCATAGCATATATGAGGCCCAGAGTTTGAATTTTTTTTTTTTTTTTTAATACCAGGCATTGAACCCAGGGTTACTTAACCACTGGGCCACGTCCCCAGCCTTTTTTTTTTTTTTTATTTTTAAATATTTTTAGCTGTAGATGGACACAATACCTTTATTTATTTTTATGTGGTGCTGATGATCAAACCCAGTGCCTCATACATGTAAAGCAGCACTTTACCACTAAGCCACAATTCCAGCCTCTTTATTTTTTAATTTTTTTGTACTTATAGATGGACAGCATGCCTTTATTTTATTTATTTTTATGTGGTGCTGAGGATCAAACCCAGTGCCTCATACATGTAAGGCAAGCACTTTACCACTAAGCCACAATTCCAGCCTCTTTATTTTTAAATTTTTTTTGTAGTTATAGGTGGACAGCATGCCTTTATTTTATTTATTTTTATGTGGTGCTGAGGATCAAACCCCAGCACCTCACACATGCAAGGCAGTGTTCTGCCACTGAGCTACAGCCCCAGCCCTGCATTTTTTATTTTTTGAGACAGGGTCTTGCTAAGTTGCTCAGGGTCTCACTGAATTGCTAAGCCTGGCTTTGAACTTGTGATCAACCTCCTGAGCCACTGGGATTACAGGCATGAGCCACCATGTTCAGTCCAGGGTTTGATTCTTAGTCTCACACATACACACACACAACAAAAAACAAACAAACAAACAAAAAAACTATGTATAGAATAAGGCAAGAAATTTTGTTCTCAGGCATACTGACAACACTATCAAAGGACATCTTACATGGAAGTGCAGAACTAGAACAGCACTTGGGACCATTTAGTGTCAGGGCAAACAAGCACCCTTAGTCCTTGATGGTATCTCTATATAACAGAACATGACCACCACAGATCTTATGGGTGAAAGTTATTTTAGAAAGTATCTAGTCCAATAACTGTATGTTTGCTTGTTTATTTATCCTAGGGACTAAACCCTAATATGCTTTATGACTGAGTTACATCCCTAGTCCTTTTTATTTTTCATTATGAGACAGGGTCTTGCTAAGTTGCTAAGGATCTCCATAAGTTGCTGAAGCTGGTCTTAAATTCCTTAGCCTACCAAGTCAGTGGGACTACAGATGCACATTACTGCACCCGGCTATGTCTTTATTGTTGTTGTTGTTTATGCATATATTTTTAAAATGGGAAACATTTCTTCTGTGCCTGCTCACCTTCGTCTCTTGCCATTTCTTTCCAGGAGACAAGAGTCTATTGAGTAACAGACAGACCACTTTGCAAAAGCCACAGTTAAAATTCAGGTCTCCTAATCCCAAATTCAGAATCTGAATCATTAATAAAAGGTTAAACTGCAGCCCAGAAGTATTCAATAAGTGTTTGTGATATAAGCATTTTGTGATATTTCTTTCCTTTTTTTTTTTGGGGGGGGGGGTACCAAGGGATTTAACTCAGAGGCACTCAACCACTGAGCCACATCCCTAGCCCTTGTGATAGTTCTTTAAGTAACTTTAGTTTTGGCAGTATTGGGGATTGACTCAAGTTTCAAGCAGGGCATGGTGGTGCACACCTGTAATCCCAGTGGCTCAGGAGGCTGAGGCAGGAGGATCACGAGTTCAAAGACAGCCTCAGCAAAAGCAAGGTGCTAAGCAACTCAGTGAGACCCTGTCTCTAAATAAAATACAAAATAGGACTGGGGATATGGCTCAGTGGTTGAATGCCTCTGGGTTCAATCCCTGATACCAAAAAAAAAAAAAAAAAAAGAGAGAGAGTTTCAGACATGGTAGGCAAGCACTCTACTACTGAGCTCATTACATCCCCAATCCTTTTTATTTTTTTGAGACATAGTCTTGCTAAGTTGTTCAAACTAGTACCGAACTTGTGATCTTCCTACCTTAGCCTCCCAAATATCTGGAATTTCAGGTGTGCGCCACTATGTGTGTGTATATATATATACAGACACATTGGTCTTTAAAGGCTAAACTTCAATTATCTGAAAAAGTAAATATGAGGAATGTCTGACTACCTGCGGCTGGAGAAGTGAGATGCCCCTGTAATCATGGGCCATGTCAAATTTGATGTCCATTTCACTACCAGTGTGGCCTGGGAAAGGCAATAACCACCCTTTGAATTCCTGTGCACTCTTCTACTCCAAAGAATGCTGGGTTTTTCATAGAAAGCTTTTTTTTTTAATATTTATTTTTTAGCTGTAGTTGGACACAAAAACCTTTATTTTACTTATTTATTTTTATGTGGTGCTGAGGATTGAACCAAGGGCCTCACACGAGCCCTCTACCACTGAGCCAGAACCCCAACCCTCCACAGAAAGCTTTTTTTTTTTTTAATATTTTACTTTTTAGTTTTAGGTGGACACAATATCTTTTTTTTTTTTTTTTTAATGTGGTGCTGAGAATCGAACCCAGTGCCTCACATGCCAGGTGAGCACACTACCACTTGAGCCACATCCCCAGCCCCCACAGAAAGCTTCATAAGGAGGAAAAGTTTGCTGTTCGCTCCCTCTTTCCAACCTCAAAAGCCACTCAGGCCACAGGAGCTTTGGCACCCTTGGCTGCCTCATCATTTTTTTTTTTTTTAACACCTATGAAATTACCTTCTTTGTTAAAAAGTAATACAGAAGAAAGTTTTCCTTTTCAACCCTTTAAGAGATAAGATCCAAAAATTATTTTGGCAAAGTCCTTATTTATCTCATACATAAGGGCATGAGTACACACGTGCAAATACACACTTATCTTTCTTGTCCATGTCTTTGTTCCTGAACTCAAGGACAGCTCCTGCGGCAATAGAAGACTGTTTCTACCTGCTGTCACTCTGATTTGATTATACGTTAAACCCAAACTGGTGTGTGCAAGGCAGCTCCCTGGGTGCTGTCATCTCTTCCCAACTGAGCCAGGGTCAGTCCTTGGGAAGGAGACTTTCAATGACCCTGCAAAGGGTCTGACACGGAATATGAAGGAGGCAATGCCTGGGGACTTTTTCCTAAGTCAGCAGGAAACAGGCTGATGTCCCAGGCTGCTGAAAGAGGCCCGATCTTTCAGGTGGTCTAGAAAGTAGAGGTCCTAAAGGCCTCTTTCCCCAAAGCTCCAAAGCCTGGCCCACTTCCAATGTGGATAATTACATTCCCCTTTCCTAAATACTCCCTGCAGCTTAAACTAGATGCAGGATTCTTCTTTTCTGCCCTAAAACACTGCAACATTGCTCTGTGGCTATTAAACAGCTGCCGCGGCCCATCCCTGAGGAGGCTGAAGGGAATCGAGTGGGTCATTTATAAAGCCGCTGAAGTGCCTGGGGATGAAAGTGCTCAATATCCTCCAAATGCGGCCTGGGGTGGTTAGGCTGGCGGTCAAATACCAAAGCAGATTAAGCAGTAATCCGAATGTAATCGCTAGGGGATGGCCTGCCCTTCAGCCTCTGCTTCCCTGGACACGCTGTGTTTTTCTGGGGCTAGTTTGATGTTCCGATCATTGTTATGGGGCCCTTCAGTTTTTCCTCTATGAATACATACAGCATTCATTGTGCAGGGTGGGAATGAATAGCCCCGAGAGATTAGAAAAAAAGATGACACTAACATGCTTATTAACACTGACTAGAGAAACTTTGTCCCAGGCAGATGCACACCTATTGGCAATTCTTCCTCTTTAAATTGAGATTTTTGAATAGAAACAGCAGTTTGGCCAATTACCAAATTTATATAATTAGTTGGAAAATGGAAACTATTTCTGCATACTGCCACAAAAACCACATCTGTATTTTACTTCATAGTATACACAAGCAAAAGACAGCTCAGATCCTAGGATTATTTATTCTTAAAAATTAACAGCTGGGACTGGATGTGGTAGTGTACACCGGTCATCTCAGCAACTCAAGGATTGCAAGTTCAGGGGCAGCCTCGGCAATTTAGCAAGGACCTGTCTTAAAATAAAAGGACTGGGGCTGGGGATGTAGTTCAGTGGTAGAGCCTAGTATGTGTGAGGCACTGGGTTCAATCCCCAGCACTTTAAAAAATTAAAAAATAAAATAAAAATAAAACCTGGGTGCAGTGGCATGCTCCTATAGTCCCAAGTACTTGGGAGGCTAAGACAGGAGAATCACTTGAGCCTAGGAATTCAAGGCCAGCCTGGGCAAACTAGTGAGGCCCCATCTCAAAATAATAAAAACAATAACAACAACAACTATGATGACGAAGAGTATTTTGTGAGGGCAGTTGGGTAGGGGTTAGGGGAGAAGAATAAGAAATGGATCTACTGTTCTCTGGCTACGGTCCAGTGGCTGGAGTGGGGTGATTCTTCATGCCTATCAGTCCCCATTCAGGTCATTCTGGGAAAGAAAAATTGAATAAGGCTAGGCATGGGGGCACATGCCTGTAATCCCAGCTATTTGAGAGACTCAGACTCAGATTATGAGTTCTAGCCTAGCCTGGGTAACAGCAAAACCTCTTAAAAAAAAAAAAAAGAAAGAGAAAATAGGAAGTAAAGAAAGTTAGATTTAAATATTCTTTGCTATACATCAAAGCACAGATTTTTTAGAAAATATTGTTTAGCTGTCAATGGATCTTTATTTTATTTATTTATATAATACCGAGAATCCAACCCAGTGCTTCACATGTGCGAGGCAAGCACTCTACCACTGAATCACAATCCCAACAAGCACGGACTCTTGATTGGACAGAACTCAGAAACCTAACAGCAATGTGATTCTGAAAAAGGTACTTAACTTCTTTGAGCGTCTGTTCTTTCAACTGTAAAATAGGGATGAGGATACCTATGTCATAGGGGTTTTCTTTTTTCCATTGGTGTGGGGTACTGGGGATTGAACCCAGGTGTGCTTAATCACTGAACCACATCCCCCAGTCCTTTTTATTTTTTGAAACAAGGTCTCACTAAATTGCTTAGGGCCTTGCTAAGTTGCTGAGACTGGTCTTTCAGTCCTCCTGCCTCAGCTACCTAAATTGCTCTGATTACAGGTATGTGCCACCATGCCCAGCTGTCATAGAGTTTTGTTTTGTAACACACACACACTGTGTATTTGTGTGTGTATATATGTAAACATATACACACATATAAATATGTACACACACACACACATATATAATATATATATATTAGTTGTAGATGGACAAATACCTTCATTTTATTTATTTATTTTTATGTGGTGCTGAGGATTCGAACCCAGTGCCTCACACATGCTAGGCAAACACTCTACCAACTGAGCTACAGCTCCAGTCCTGTTATAGGGTTTTAATGAAGACAATTACATGATGTCATTCATATAATATACTTGGCATGGTGTCCAACAAGAATTAATGTCATTAGTAGGTAAAACTTTAGTCAAATAGTATTCTCTCTCATGAACAAAGTCTTACTCTATTTCTGCTTTTAAGAAAAAGGAGTTTGAGTCAGGCCTATAATCCCAGTGACTCAGGAGGCTAAGGTAGGAGGATCACAAGCTTGAGGTCAACATTGGCAATTTAGCAAGAGCCTGTCTCAAAATGAAAAATAAAAAAGGACTGGGAATGTAGTTCAGTGGTAGAGAGCCTTTGGGTTCAATCCCCGTACTGCCAATAAATAAGTACATAAGAAAAAGAAAAAGGAGTTTGGAGGCCAGAGTCTGTCCTCTCTTGCCACCAGGAGAAACAACAGGTAAATGTGGGATACTGGGGCTTCAAATGCTACAAATGAGGGAAACTGCACTTTTTTTTTTTTTTTAATTTCAATTTCATCTCCAAGTTCAACAAAAAAGCCCAGGTTTTGTTTGTTTGTTTCCACAGCTGTGGCAACAATAGCTGCTTTACTTGTTCTTTGTGGAAAAGAGGGGTGATATTGGGGGCTGGGGTGAAGCTGGGGCGAGGTGTTGCGGTCAGTCTCTGGCCTGGATATGGTGATGGTTAGCCCACGTGACCTCTGCTTTCATAGGTTCTCCCCTGTTAGGCATTCCAAGGCTGTCACCCCCTGGGAGCACTATAAATTACAATACATTGTGAGGATATTACTACTGTATTGGTTTCCTCCGAATCAGTGTCATATGCTAAACACATCAAGATTTTTAATAGCACCAGACTAAGCCAATTGGGACCAAGCCCAAGCAGTTCATAATAAGGAGGGATCAACACTTCACTCTGCAACTGAACATGCGGAGGGCACATATTTTAAGACCAGAGACCAAGAGAATGCAAACCAGTGTAATCCATGTTGTCGGTTCTAAACATTTATGAGCTGTCAGAAAAAGGGAAAAAGAAATTCCCTCACCAATACAACCTGTCGATCAGGCCTAGGAAGAAATTAAAGTCAAGAATAATGACAAGAAAATAACCCAGTCCATGATTCCATCATTGGTCTTAGCATTTCAGGTGGAACTTAATAAAGAGACCAACTCCCACTGCTGACAGCCTTAGGCCCTGGGTCACAGAGCCAGCCTCCTAGCTCTGGGAAGTCAGTTAAGGCTGATGTGCGTACCTGGGAATAGAAAGTGGACGAATCAAATAATTCCCAGAAATTCAAACTGGAACCCCTATTCATGAGCCTATTCATAGAGGGAAAAATCTGTAGGAACGAAAAATGATAATGCTGCAAAATCACCAAGCATACCCCCTTTGGTTCATTCTTCAAGATGAGGGTCGTATTTAACGGTGATACTGCCTCTGATGCTTGGTGGCTCAGAAAACACAACAAGCAATCAAAAAGCCTGCAGTGAAAGGCTGTCCTTATCACTACGGGCTACAAGGCTCACTTCAATACCACTCCTCTGTTAAGTTTTTCTCCAACTGTTTCTCTACATACCCCCTCCCAGCTTAGAATTATCTTTCTCGCTGGCTGGGGCTGGGCTTGGGGCTGGGCTTTATGGGTCAAAAAAAAAAAAAAAAAAACACAAAAAAAACTCCCACTCCATTTCCAGTGTCCAAACTATTTTCAGTAACAACCTTGCCCCAAAAGCCTGAGTACTCCCTCCCTCAGTTTCCACATTTCATGCTGGGCAACTCCCTCAAGCCTAAGGCTAGGAGCATTGGCCTGTGCTCAGAACAATCCCAAGCCTTCCAAAAAGTCCAATGGAAGCCTGTTACTTACCAAGTAGTTCACTCGTCTTCTCATCATATTCTTCAGCCATTTCCTTTCCATCTGGGAACAAATAGTGCACCTTTCTTCTCCCTACACACAGAGCAGACAGTGCCTTACCTCACAGCCTTCCTCTGCCTTGCCTCATGCTGATGTGCAAGGGGCCTTGCCTGGGAACAGCAATAGCCCTGGGAGTAATGAGAAACCCCGCTGGAACCCCTAGGAACTCCTTGCCAACCATCACCCACCATTACTTTAAGTCATATCCTGGGGCTCACTTGCTTTCTGAAGCTTCTTCCTCTGATCATGCCTTTGCAATTTTCTCTTTGCAATTATCAGCAATAATGCCATAATTCTTCCCATCCATGAAACTCTTCTTCACCCTTCAAAATCCAGCTCAAATGTCACTTCCACTGGGAAGTCTCCCACAATTATCACCTCCAGCTCATTGGCAGAAGTAATCACTTCCTCATCTGCCCCCTCCCATGGTGTATTCACATGTATAGTGGAGCATTTATCACATATTATAACACTCCTAAAAGTATCAGACATGAATGTCATCACACGTCTTTCTCTCCCCAGTTTCTAAAACCAAGCTTACACAGGATGTTGAGCTGGGGTTGTTGACCCAGCACTTCCCTTCAGTCATGCCATTGTTCTACCTTCTTCCACCACACATCTCTAGGTCATTCAGAGACACATGATGGCAACTGCCATGTATTTGCTCCCTGACAAGGTACTTCAGTTATGATATTACATCTACTTGTGTGTGATTCTTTGATTATTGCCTGTCTCTTTTACTGGATAGGAGCAGTTTTATCCCTGTACCTGTGGTTTCCCTGAGAGTAAGCAGAGTACCTGGCTCAACGAAATAGTGACTGAAAGAATGAATAAATATTGACACATCCTCCACTGACAACCACGGAGTCTCCCAGCCCAATTTCTCTACCCACATAGCACAACCATAAGCATTTGCTTAAGGATGACTGTGTAACTTCCTCTTTCTTTTTACATATAGGACGCAGATATAGGTATGCCCTCAGAAAGACTAATAAAAGGGCATTAATGTTCAGTAGGCATGTACACTATATAAGATTCAAGAACAAGAATCCTAGCTGGGGACTGATGCTGTAGTTCAGTGGCAGAATACTTGCCTGGCACGTGTGAGGAACTGGGTTTGATCCTCAGCACCACGTAAAAATAAACAAATAAAATAAAGGTATACTTGGCCAGAGTCGTGGCTCAGTGGTAGAGTGCTTGCCTATCATGTGTGAGGCACTGCGTTCGATCCCTGACACCACATAAAAATAAAGGTATTGTGTCCATCTACAACTGAAAAAAATATTTTTTAAAAAAGCATACTGTCCATCTATAACTACACTTTTTTTTTTTTTTTTTTAAAGATTCCTAGCCAGGGGGCTGGGGTTGTGGCTCAGTTGGTAGAGTGCTTGCCTAGTATGTATGAGGCACTGGGTTTGATTCTCAGCACCACATATAAGTAAATAAATAAAGGTCAATCAACAGCTAAATAAAAAAAAAAAATTTAAAAAAAGATTCCTAGCTAGGTATGATGGAGCACTCCTGTAATTCCAGCTTGGCTGAGGCAGGAGGAGCTCGAGTTCAAAGCCAGCCTCAGCATCTTAGTGAGGCCCTAAGCAATTCAGTGAGACCCTGTCTCTAAATAAAATATTTTAAAAAGGGCTGAGGAGGCCAGGGTTGTGGTTTGGTGGTCAAGTGCTTGTCTAGCATCCATGAGATACTGGATTTGATCCATGGCACCACAGAGAAATTAAAAAATAATAATAAAATAAAGGTTAAAAAATAATTGAAAAAAAAAAAAAAAAGGCTGGGGATGTGGCTCAGTGGTCAAGAACCCCTGGGTTCAATCCCTGGTACCAAAAAATTACAAAAGAGTCCTCAGGTGGCTTTTTCCTAATTTACTCTTCTGGGAACAGTTCCCTTGAGTCATTTTAAATTTGTATTTCAGGGAAACTCAAATCCCAAATTTGCAGGGCATCTCATCAGGCTTTTAGGTTCCACCACTCTTAACCATTTGGGTGGTTCATAGGAGACATCAGGTCTTTTCCTATCAGAAGAAGGGCACAAGGTACTGCCTGTGCACAGCTGAGGGCACCTGGCCTGGCCATCTTCTCCCCTTTGCCTCCAGCCTCGAGTACTGGCAGAATGTGGTACTTACTATCAACCAGCCAGTTTACATGTTTTATTAAATTTAATTCTCACAATAATCCTATGTATCTCCATTATCTGTATTTCACAGATGAGGAAAATTGAGGCTTAAAGATGTGAAACTTAGTCTAACATCATAAAGCTAGAAAATGACAGATTCAGACCTAAACTCTTTTGAGGCCAAAGTCCAAGTTCTAATAATTATATCAGAAAAATTTGTACAGCTTTAAATATTTGTAAGGTTGAAAATTGTTCCAGGGATTTATTGAAAATTTTTCCAGAGAGTTCCTGTTTACATCCCTATACCTGCCAAGATGGCAAATCTGCATTTTAACAAAGCATACCCATATATTCAATATTGTGGGGGGTTTTTTGTTGTTGTTGTTGTTTGGGAAAAAACCCTAACAATATCATTTTGTGATGCTAATAATAAAAGAACTTAACACAATCTTGGCTGATATAATATTTGTTTAAATATTGTTCTGTGACCAAATACCTGGGCTTGCACCTCTGAATACCTCTGAATTCATATTCAGAGCAGCATTATTCACAATAGTCAAAAGGTAGAAGCAACCCAAGTGTCCCTCAACACATGAATAAACAAAATGTATGTGTGTGAGGAGGTGAGTTGTGCATAAATACAAATGGGATATTATTCACATTTTAAAAGGAAGGAAATTCTAACACATGAACTTTGGAGATATTATGCTATAAGAAATAAGCCAATCATAAAAGGACAAATATCATACAATTTCATTCATCTGGTTTCCTAGAGTAGTCAAATTCACAGAAATAGAAAATAGAAAGGTGCCTGCCAGGGGCTGGGGAGGAGGAGAGCACAGAGTTTACTGACAGAGTTTCTTGAGGAAGATGAAACAGTTCTGGAAGCTGGGTTCAGTGGCACATGCCTGTAATCCCAGTGGTTCAGGAGGCTGAGGCAGAAGGATTGTGAGTTCAAAGCCAGCCTCAGCAACTTATCAAGGCACTGAGAAACTCAGTGAGACCTTGTCTCTAAATAAAATACAAAATAAGGCTGGGGATGGGACTCAGTGGTTAAGTGCCCCTGAATTCAATCTTTGATACCAAATAAAAATAAAATAACAATTCTGGAAATGGATGGTGATGATGATTGCACAACAGTGTGAATGTACTTAATTAAAATGAACTGTAGGCTTAAAGAGTTAAAATGGTAAATTTTATGGTATGTATTTTTTATCACAATAAAAACAAAAACAGCCAGACATGGTGGCATATGCCTACGATATCAATTACTCAGGAGAATCCTGAGTTCAAAGTCACCCTGGGCAACTTAGCAAAACCTGTATCAAAATAAAAAGGGCCGTTGATGTAGCTCAGTGGTAGGGCATCCCTGGGTTTAATCCATGCGCGTGCGCGCTCTCTTTCTCTCTCACATGCACACAAACAACAATCAACATTGTCCTGTGAGATAATGTCCAAAGTCTTCTGCAAGGCAAATTCCCCAATTTTCTGCAATCCATTTCCACCTTTTCCCCTCATTGCTCCTTGAGTGGCGGGGACCCTTTCATTCACCCTTGTATCCTAGCACCTAGTAGCACAGCTGACACAGCATAATGGTTTGTTACAACTGACTGAGCAAATGATTTCTCACCACTAAACATTTTGTTATTCCTTGAGTAACCAGAGTAATCAGTTGTATATTTCCATACCTCCAAGCCTTTACATGTTGAGTCACTGTTCCTTAAATATCATTCCCTTCTCCACTCCACAAACACCTCTTAATTCCTTAGGACCCAGAATATCAGCCCTTCTGTTAGGTCTCCCTCCAAAGAGATGATCATTTCCACTTTCATGCTCTCAAAGCATTTTATACAAGATTTCACCCTCTACTTAACATGCACTATTATTTATTTACATGTCTTTTCCTGACCATGCTGTGCACTCCTAGGAGAATATGTCTTTTTTTAACTGTTCTAGTACAGAACTTGGCACACAGTATGGACTCCCTTAAACGTTGCACAAATGAGCAGCTGACTTTAATTTCCACAAACTCCAGGCTTCCCTGATTGGCCTCTACCTGGGACTGAGTCCCCAGCTGTTAGCTTTATAGCCTCAGAAATTTAAACCTAATTTGCTTTGGCTGCCAAGTGAGTCCAGGAAAGAACCCTGAAGTCCAAGAGGCCCTACAATGGACAGTTAGTTCTATGATAAGAAAAAGTCAGAACTCCATACCTGGTGCCCACTCTTATAGGCATGGTCCTTAGTCCTTGTTCTAGCTCCCGTAAAGACCAGGGCACATTTAGAGATTCACTTTGCAAACATAACAATACAGCTGTAAAGGATCTCAGAGGTAAGTGGTGGCCCATCTACTTCATTTTACAGATGAGGAAAGCGAGATCCAAACAAGAAAAGTGGCCTGCTGCACAGCTCTAGGATTAATGGCAGAGTCCAACTAGAACCCAGGTCTCCCTCTTCTTCATGACACCAAGCTGCCACCGGCAACTGAATCCCCAGACTGAGGTTCATGGGAGCCCAGATTAAGATCAGTTGTATCACTGATTCGCTGGGGAAGCTGAGTCTGATCTAAAACTTTCCAGGATTTCTGTTTCCTCGTCTGTAAAACAGAGTAGAAAATTATCAGAATCCTGGCACATCAGTGATTAGCAAATGAGATAACGAATGGGAAAGGAATTATTATGTATCAGCAACAAAACTCCGAGCAGGGCGAGATGGTGTAGGGAAACCTATGAGGCGCCCAGAGACGTGGGTTCCAGTCTCGTCGTCTCTGGGCCTCAATTTCCTCTTCTGCCAATACGGGAACTGGCCTGGCAGACGACCGCTGCGCTTCCAGCTCTGCCGGCCGAGGCCCTTCCCCGGGGACACCAGCGCGGAAGGCTGGACCCTAGTGGTGAGGACGAGAGAGCTCGCGGGCGCCTCGAGTTACCATCCTGCAGCAGAGCTGTCTTCTCTGCCGCCCGCAGACTCTCTAACCAGCCAGTCACCGCCATCTTCCCTCCGCCCAGCCACGCGCACGGACGCTGCCATGGCAACTGTTCCGCTGAGGGTCACTTCCTGCTGACCCGGATGGAATTCTGGGCATTTGCCCTTCCCTCTTACCCCCTTCGTCCGCTCTCATTGGCTCCTTTGGTAAGTAGTTTATTCCTTCTCGCCAGGTGACTCTCCAAGATCCAGAGTTGATCCCACCTTGGGAAGGACTCTTAGGTCTGGCCCGGTAGAGGTCTCTCCCCTGGCTCCCAGCTGGGAGTCCCTGACCCGTGCCAGCTGTGCACGCGGCGGGTGCACCACACCTGCCTGAGTCTTCTCCATCCCCAGCTGTGAGACCGAGACTCCCCCAGTCCCGGAGAGCGCCGCACACCTGCTATGGCAGTGCCCTCTTTCCCCGCAGCTGCGGGACTCAACCCCCCCCCCCACCCCGCCCCATGCTGAGAGTCCTGCTCCCCGGGCAGGTGCAGGCTGTTCCCGGCGCCCCCCAAAACCACCCTCCCAGGTTTTCCTCTTCAGTTATACCCTTGAGAGGTAGTTATGTGGGGTTTATGGGCAGGTGTCCTTCCGTCTCTACTCCTTTGAGGAGATGAAGAAGACCTTCCTAAATAGTTCATTTCCTACCTTGGTGTCTTTTTGGTAAAGCACTTTGGAAGTGGGATGCAGCACGGGCAGACTGCTGAATCTTCAGTGCAACTCCTTTGAGGACTGCTATAATTTCCTACCTCTCAAAAATAACCTCAATAGGCCCTGTGTTCCCCTCGCTTCCCCCAATGCCAAACTAAACAACCCGTGAGTGTAGAGCTAGCTAAACCACTGAAGTTTGATTGGGTTTTCTCAGATCCCTGGAAACTGGGCTGCTGCCCTCAAGGTCTGGTTGGTAGAGGCTCCATCTCTATATGCAAATGGGTTGGGAGAACTCAGTTTTGGATTTCTACATGACGTCTGCCCTGACCAACCCTTAAACAGAAAGGATCCAGCCATACTTCAATGGACCCCAGGGGCATCCTGAAGGCATTTCCCAAGAGAAAGAAAAGTCATGTCAATCCATCATCAAAAGCATTGACAAAGATTCCCAAGAGGGAAGAGGGAGAAGAAGCAGGAGGTGAGCAGACATACTCTCAGAATTCTCATTCACTTGAACCTTTGGCCTTCCCATTGTTTGGTCCTACTTTGTTCCTGTCCAGAATCAGGTATCAGAACTGAGGCAACCTATCCAGGACCTTCAGGTCTCTGTACCTGACTTGGATTAGCCATATCTTTTCTTTTTTTTTAATTTGGGTACTGGGGATTGAACTCAGGGGCACTCAACCACTGAGCCACATCTCCAGCCCATTTTTGTATTTTTTTTTTTTAGAGACGGGTCTCACTGAATTGCTTAGTGCTTTGCCATTGCTGAGGCTGGCTTTGAGCCCACTATCCTCCAGTGTTAGCCTCCCCAGCCTCTGGGATTACAGTCCTGGGCCACCAAGCCCCGCAGTCACACATCTTTGATAGCTTCCTGTTTCCCTTCTTCCCCACCTAAGACCTTCATCAGTCAGAATATACTCCCTAATCCCTCAGGAAATGACTGGTAGAATTTTTTGCTCTCCAGGAGGCTGCCCCAACTGCAGACAGAAATCCCCCTTGATGCTAGGAGTGCTAAGGCATAAACATCATCACAAGTTTGAGGCCAGCCTCAGCAATTTAGCAAGGCCCTGAGCAACTTAGCCTCAGGCTTGTAAGTTGTTTTGGGCCCTATTGACAGAAAGATGGCAGAGGCTTTATGGGGAGTGGGAGCAGGAATCAAATCTGCTAGACTGTGAGGGCAAGAAACAATAGAAGAAACATGCTTTGTTGAAAGAATAAATGATAAAGTGATTCTGAACTGCAGTTCAAAGTAGGGAGGGATAAGGCATTTATTTACTCTTTTATTTAACAAATATTTATAGGCTACATACAATGTGCCAGACATTGTTCTTTGTTACACCAGAAAACAGGATAAATAAAAATTCTCACCCCTTATATTCCAGTGATTGCCTATGAGGAAATTGGCTGTATGCTTATAAGGTAGAATCCCCAGAAGGCAGACTGTGTGGATGGAAGGAAAATGATTGTTTTAGGGGGAGAGGACTACAAACATGTCATTCTCATCATATCTAAAAATTTTGATAATAGGCATCTAACTGTCCCTCCCACAGAGTGGCTGAGCTCCCTGCGGGCTCATGTTGTGTCCACTGGCATTGGACGAGCCCGGGCAGAACTCTTTGAGAAGCAGATTGTTCAGCATGGTGGCCAGATATGCTCTGCCCAGACCCCAGGGGTCACTCACATTGTGGTGGATGAAGGCATGGACTGTGAGCGGGCCCTCCGCCTCCTCAGACTGCCCCAACTGCCCCCAGGTGCTCAACTGGTAAAGTCAACCTGGCTGAGCTCCTGCCTACAGGAGAGAAGACTGGTGGACACAGCTGGATTTAGCATCTTCATCCCCAACAGGTGGGCTGGTTCCTCAAATGTTTTCTGGCAGCATCTTGAGTCTATTCTTGAGCTATTCCAGATGACTATTTTCTCGTTTGTTTTGTGATACTGTGGATGGAACTCAGGGCCTTGCATATCCTAGGCAAGCCCTCTACCTACACCCCCAGCCCTACTTTTAAAATTAGACACATGAGAAAATAAGGTTTCAAAATAGAGAAGGATTGGGGATGGAAATAGGACGAGACTTTGGGTGTCTTAACCTCCTGTCATCATCCCCCAGGTATGTGGATCAACCACAGCCAAGCAAAGTGGACCAACAGTCTTCTGCTCCTCCTGGCACTCATGGGATTCTGCCTAGGACAGCCCTTTCTCCTCTGCCTCCTCCTACCAGAGCTGTATCTCCTCCCCAAAAGGCAGAAGAGGCACCAAGCTCCCAAGTCCAGGTCAGGAGCCTCCTAGCACCCTGGGTATCTGATCATAGAAGTGGGGAACATCAGAAGGTACCAGGCCCATGAGACAGTAAGTCTGTCTTGATTTAGCACATACTACTCAGAAACCCAGGGCTGGACACTGGGAAAGGGAAGCCACATAGTACATGTCCCAATGCTAAAGGAGACCTAAGCTTGATGCAGAAGCCCCAGCCTCAATGTTGGGTCTGAGAAGGAGACACCCACACATGCAAAGACAACTCCCACTTTTGAAGTGTCCTCCTCATGGAAGGAAAGAATTTATTAACTCTTCTTCCCTACTTCAAGCCCAGCTCCGATGATGAAACCAGTGATGGGGAAGGGCCCCAGGTTAGCACAGCTGATCTGGAAGCTCTGATCAGCGGCCGTTACCCAACCCCACCTGAGGGAGATGGCGAGCCTGGCCCAATCCCAGAGGCCCTGGATAAGTGGGTCTGTGCACAGCCCTCAAGCCAGAAGATGACCAACCACAACCCACACATCACAGAGAAGCTGGAAGTGCTGGCCAAAGCCTACAGCGTCCAGGGAGATAAGTGGAGGGCTCTGGGTTATGCCAAAGCCATCAATGCCCTCAAGAGCTTCCACAAGCCTGTTAGCTCCTACCAGGTACCTTGGAGGTAGGGTGGTGTTGGCCGGGACATCTTGTCTTTACTAGCCAGGACATCAGGCTTAATGGTTAAGATTTTATGTTTGAGAGACTTTCACAAAGAAACAAAATGGGAAGTGAAAGCAGATTAGCAAAATCTTGAGAATTGTTGAAGGAGGTGATTGGTGCTTGGGGGTTCAATACAGTGTCCTCTCTGTTTTTAAGTTTTCTGTATACTAAAAAGTTTAAAACAAAATTCTAGACTCTGGAGCCTAACAGACCAGGGTTACTAACTGTGTGACAATAGGCAAGTTACTTAAACTTCCAAGCACCAGTTTTCTCATCAATAAAAAGGGATTAATAATAGCAACTCATTCACAGTGCTCTTATGAGGAGGAAATGAGATGGTCCCTGGTGCACAGAAATGATATACAGTAAGCACTCAGTACATGTTGGCTCTCACTATTGCCACGATGATGATGGTGGTGGTGGTGACTAGTCCCATCATTATTCCCCACTTCTTATCATTGGTCTCTATTCCTCTGGGAACTTAAAGACAAGTTACCCAGGCCATATTCCATCCAAACTTCTCATCTTCAACTGTGCCCAGGTTTTCCATAGCCACACATTTGCCTGGCTGACTTTTCAGCAGACGTCTACTAAAGGAGTCTACTTTAACCTACCCCTGGTTCTCCCTAGATGCTTTCTCAGTTTTCTTCCTTACCTCTGTCCCCATCCTCCTCTAGGAGGCCTGCAGCATCCCTGGGATTGGGAAGCGGATGGCTGAGAAAATCATGGAGATCCTGGAGAGTGGGCATCTGAGGAAACTGGAACACATCAGTGAGAGCGTGCCTATCTTGGAACTCTTTTCCAACATCTGGGGAGCTGGGACCAAGACTGCCCAGATGTGGTACCATCAGGTCAAACCATGGCTCAGCTGCCATTTTAGTATTGCCATGTTTCAGAATTCTGACCTTATAAGTCCCTTTGCCTTTTTACCAGGGGTGACCTGGGTATCATTCTGCTACCTTGTATGCTGACGAGAATGAACCTAGACTATAGGGAGGTAACTTCTCAAAGGCATCAGTTCTCAAATAAGTCCATCTCCTGGCTTCTAGAACAGCCATGTGGCTTGGTATCCTTGTGGTGTAGGTAGGAACAAGAAGTATATTTCTCTGTCCCCCAGAATAGCACGTGCCTTCCTGAGAATTCAGGACGTTCAGAGGAAATGTTCAGAAGAGTAGATCCCAAATCTAGCCATCCCAGAATTATCTGGGGGCATTGATTACAATGAAGAGGCCCAGGCCCATCCCCAGACCAGTGGTGCCATGAATTAGCATCTCTGGATTATGGCATGTCTTCTAGGTCCCTAACTTTCCCAGGTCCCATGAGTACAGACCCTCCCACACCTGGGGTTGGTCCTCTCTCAGGCCTTGAATGGAATCTGGGGCAATAGAAACCTCCTGTGTCTGCTTGTTTCCACCACTTCATTGGTCCTGGATCCTCATAGCTTTCCTTCTGGTTGCTTTTTTCCAGGGTTTCCGGAATCTGGAAGACATACGCAGCCTGGCCTCCCTGACTGCCCAGCAGGCCATTGGCCTGAAACATTATGATGACTTCCTGCAACGCATGCCCAGAGAGGAGGCTGCAGAGATTGAGCAGACAGTAAGCAGGTGTCCCAGAGCAGTGAAGAGAGCCAGGCCCTGCTATAAGGTTCTGGCTTAAAGCCAAAAATCTTTGATCTCTCAATTGGGGAGCCCAACAGGCAGAGAAAGCCATGGATCTCCAGAGGTTGGGGGAAGAGCAAGTTGAGACTGAAGCTACAGGCCCAGAGGGAGCTTGGGAGAGAGCTCCCAGTATTAGTGTGAGCACTGGGTAACATTAGAGCTAGAGTAGAGGCTTGTTATGGGTCCAGTTATTCAAGGATGTTGGAGTTTGAACAGAGCTAGGGTAGAGTGGGACAGGGCAGAGGTCCTTTTTTTAAAACATTTTTTTTAAAATAATTTATTTAACAAAGCCCATTTTCTTGGATCTTTGGGGTGTTTCTAATTTTTCATTTTTATAAGTGTTTCTTTTTTTAATAGTTTTTTAGTTGTAACTGGACACAATACCTTTATTCATTTATTTTTATGTGGTGCTGAGATTTGAACCCAGGGCCCTGCACATGCTAGGCAGACGCTGTACCGCTGAACTACAACCCCAGCCCCAACATTTTTTTTAATATTTATTTTTTAGTTGTAGTTGGACACAATATCTTTAGGCGAGCACTCTACCACTGAGCTACAACCCCAGCCCAGGGCCAGAGGTTCTTAATGGTTTGTTTTTTTTTAATACCATGGATTGAACCCAAGGGTGCTTAACCACTGAACCACATTCCCAGCCCGTTTTATTTTTTATTTTGAGACAGGGTTTTGCTAGGTTGCTTACAGCCTCGCTAAATTGCTGAGGCTAGCTTTGAACCTGCGATCCTGCTGCTTCAGTCTCCCAAGCTGCTGAGATTACGGGCATGTGCCCCTGTGCCCAGCTTCTTAGTGCTTTTTTTTTTTGTGGATGGACACAATACCTTTAATTTTGTTTATTTATTTCTATGTGGTGCTGAGGATTGATTGAACCCAGTGCCGCACACATGCCAGGCAAGTGTTCTACCACTGAGCCACAACCCTAGCCCTTCATAATGTTTTTTTTTTCTTTTTTTAATATATATTTTTAGTTGTCGATGGACCTTTATTTTATTTATTTATTTATATGTGGTGCTGAGAATTGAACCCAGTGCCCCACCCACATGCTAGGCAAGCACCCTACCACTGAGCTACAATCCTAGCCCCTTAATTCTTTTTGATTCACTAACTTCTTTTGAGAACCTGATGAGAACTGAACTGTGTCTTCCCAAATATATACATGTGTGAAGTTTTTTCTAGATGTGTGGACCCTCTGAAGCCCATACAAGTCTTGTCAGCATTGGGTTAGGGTTGGTATAGGAGCATAGTACTAGTAGGAGTAGGTGTGGGATTAGGAGAAAGCTCCAACAAGATTGGATTAAATAAGGTGCAGTGGTATCTGCCTATAGTCCCAGCTATTTGGGAGGCTAAGTCAGGCAGGTCACAAGTTCGAGGGCAACCTCAACAATTTAGGGAGAGTCTGTCAGAAAATAAAAAATAAAAAGGGCTGGGGATATAGCTCAGTGATAGAGTGCCCCTGGGCTCAATCCCCAGTACCAACAAAAAAGAAAAAAAAATGAGTTAAGGATAGGCCTTGATTAAGAGGAGGATTAAGATTTATAGTTGTCCAAGAAATAAAGTTTGGTCAAGATAAGGATTTGGTTTAGAGCTACATTAGAGACTATGTTTTATAAAGTTTGTGTAAAATCAAGAGTAGAGAGAGACAGGAATAGATGTGTCATTTCTTCAGCCAGCATCAGAATTAGGGGTTGTGGGCAAGATTTGCTCACTTTGGTCAAGAATCCTAATGGATAGCACTCTGGGGAAACTGGCCTAGCTTGATAGAAATCATCCTCCAGCTCCACTCCAGGCTAGAGGGTCTGTGGAAAGGCCCCTTTGTACTCCTGTCACCAGGCCTCAGTGTTAGTGATGACACCGTCACTCAGCCACGGTGTCTGGGCACAGAGAATGCCCCAGCCAGCCACCGGCCTTCAGCTGTTAGAACAGAAGAGGCTTCCCACCTGGCTCCCTGTGCCCCCTTTTAGGGCTCCAGGCTTAGAGGTTTTGATGGGATTACTCATCTGGGTCTTCTCCTCCCCTTCTCCTGGGAAGCCAAAAAGGGCCTGAGGAGATTAGAAGAGCCCAGCCTGTCAGGGGAATTGAGGTGTCCTGGCTGTAGGTATCCAGGGCCCCAGAAATCTGTGTCCTGGAATGGAGGCGGGAATGCATCTGCATATGAAAGGCTTCAGTGTCTCTGGGTAGAGGCTAATGCGTTTATTTCTCCTTGGTGAGGGATGATCCTTCTACTGACAGTCCCCTCTGTCTCATCTCCTTACTCTAGGAAGGGATGTAGTCATGGGCTCATATCGGCCCTTTCTTTGCTTTCATTTCCCACAGGTGCAGTTATATTTCTGTGTTCCATTTTCTTTCAGGCCTGGGCCTAGGGCTCACTGCCAGCCGCCTGCTCAAGCCTCAAACCCCAACTAACTGTCTTTAGCTCCAAATCCATGGACACCTAGGCCTGCCAAGATCTGGCATCTGGCTTCCAGGCACTTGGCCCCTTGTTCTAAGCAGAATTTTGTAGACCAGGGCATGTGGGTGTGGGTTGGGTCAGAGTTGAGACAAAGTGTCCCTCTGCTCTTAAAGAGGTGCTGAGGGATGATGGGTGCCCTCCCACAGAGGTGGAGCCAGTGTCTTCTCTCCTTGGGCTTATCCCCCATGTGGGATGGTTCTCCCCTGGCCCAGTGCCAGCTGAAGAACAGCAGTGCCCCAGGGGGGAATTCCCTCAGCCTGGCAGCAGGCTTGGGGCATAGTGTGGACCCTGAATCACAGAAGGCCCTCTGCTGCCTTGGGGGAGGAACTCTAGAGGGTTTGAGGACTACCTTCCTCCCTCTCTGCTCTTGCCCAGGTCCGGGTGTCAGCCCAGGCCTTCAGCCCTGGGCTGCTATGTGTGGCATGTGGCTCTTACCGCCGGGGGAAGATGACCTGTGGTGATGTGGATGTGCTCATCACTCACCCAGATGGCCGGTCCCACCAGGGCATCTTCAGTCGTCTCCTTGACAGCCTTCGGCAGCAAGGTATAAGCATCTCTGGTGAGCAGGGGGCAGGGAAGCAGGGAAAGGAGACTTGAAAGAGCCCCACCTCACCTGTAACCATGTCCTCTCAAGGAGGAGATGAAACATGGGCCAGCAGCACCCAAAGACTCAAGTCTCATCTGGTCTTTCTGTGACACTGGGAGAGATGGGCAGAATTGACACCCCATTTCACAAATCAAGAGATTGGCCCAGAGTGGGCAGGCTCCCTCAGGGCAGAATCCAGTGAGATGGGAATAGAGAACTCGGAGAACTAGGAGAGACCTGGGAAGGTGGGCAAAGTGGGGTCTGGCTCCTAGCCCTCTCAGCCATACCCTGTGTTGTGCCAGGGTTCCTCACAGATGACTTGGTGAGCAAGGAGGAGAACGGCCAGCAACAGAAGTACCTAGGTGTATGCCAACTCCCAGGGCCAGGGCGACGACACCGACGACTAGACATTATCGTGGTTCCCTACAGTGAGTTTGCCTGCGCCCTGCTCTACTTCACTGGCTCTGCTCACTTCAACCGTTCCATGCGGGCTCTGGCCAAGACTAAGGGCATGAGCCTGTCAGAACATGCCCTCAGCACAGCTGTGGTCCGGAACACTCAAGGTGTCAAGATGGCTCCTGGCCGAGTGCTACCCACACCCACCGAGAAGGACGTCTTCACACTCTTAGGCCTACCCTACCGAGAACCAGCAGAGCGCGACTGGTGACTATGGCTCAGGGCACAGCAGCCAGTTGAACCAGCTGCCCCACTCCAGTTTCATCTGGCTGAACTTTACACTTAGCCACCTGCTATCTTCTGTGAAACCAAGCCTGGGGCTCAAGCCTGAAGGAAAGAGTCTGGCTCCCAAGGCCTTCCCATCCCAGATCAGGCTGCTATCCCTTCTACCCTACCACTGCCCCAGGATAGTTCTGCACACAGCTTCTTGCCCCATTTTAAACAGGAACAAGTAGCTGGTTTGAAGCCACCTTCCTGTGCTGAAGGCCTCGGCATCCCGCTTCTGACCCTGAGAAAGGTCTGACTGATGTGGGTGGGGTGGAAGCTTCACCGGGAAAGGAAAGCAGCTGTGGTCTCAGCATCACCCAGAACTCTTCAGAGGAGGGGAGTGAGCCATTCACATGTATTCCCTCCACCCACCCAACTTCCTGTACAGCTGGAGCTGCTGGGAAGGGGGTGCCCTAGGCTCCATGAGGACAGCATTTGAAGGCCGAGGGGCCCAGTAAAGTGCATTTGACATTCACTCTTCCCAATGTCTGTGAATTGCTTTACCCCCTGCCTGCCTTCTTCCACCCAGGCAGGATAGAGATGGGAGCTAAGTGGCAGAATCCAGAAAAGTTGCATTTAACTGCCCTCTTAGGCAGGCCTGACTGAATCAGCTCCTGAATCGAGAATGGGGACTGGGGTGGATGTGAAAAGGGAGAATCAGCCAGGTGTGTTGGCAAAAACCTGTAATCCTAGCTACTTTGAAGGCTAAGGTGGGAGAGACCACAAGTTCAAGGCCAGCCTGGGCAACTTGGCAAGACCCTGTCTCAATTTTTTTTTAAAGGCCTAAGGATGTAGCTCAGTGGTAGAATGCTTCCCTAGCATGCAGGAGTCCCTAGATTCCATATCCAGAAAGACACACACAAAGGGAAAGAGTGGGGTACTAGGATCTTCTCTCTAGCCACCTGTCAGCATGTGCTGTGGGCTGTGCCCAAGAACAGGCTATTTGGGACATGAACAAGGGTGACAAGGCTTTTGGGAAGCAATTAGGGACAACATGCAATCTCTGAAATACTGCAAGGAAGGCTGCCTGGAAGAGGTGGGGGCAGAGTGGCAGGGAAAGTAGCCTTTTGAGAGGGGTCAGCAGGCTCTGGGGAATAACTTGAGAGGATGCTAGGAGTCAGGAGAAGGCCAGGCTGGTAGAGGACTGAAAACAGAGGTACAGGATTTAGTCTGGTAGAGCAGATAGGAGTAAGTCCAGTAGGTAGGCTCAGTAGGGGTTCTGAGGCTGGGCCTTGCAGAATAGGGAGAATTGGTGGGAGTGGGGGTCTAAAAAGAACTATGAAGAGTAATGGGCCCAGAGGCAGGATAACGTTGTCTTGGAGGAGCAGTGAGGAGTCTGGAGAGGTCCCAGGACATGGGAGATTTTGAGGTAGAGCATGAGAATGGCTAAGCAGTGGGCTCCCACCTCCTATGTGTTGGTGTGTACTTCGGGGAAGTCCTGCCTCTCTCAGTAACTTGCAGAGTCCCAGAGCTCACCCTTGCCTCCCTGGTCGCAATCCTGGGACCCAGCTGGGTGTAGTTGTACATACTTACAATCCCAGCTACCTGGGAGGCTGAGGAAGGAGGATCACAAGTTCAAGGCCAGTGTGGGCTGCTTTCTTGGAGGGAAAAATCAACAATCCTGAAACCTAAGCAGCATAAGAGTGAATCTCCAACTCACATCCAGATCCTTAATGCTCTGAGTCCTTATGAGGAAGAAGCTAGAAGCCCATGGGGCTCAGAGGGCCATTCCACAGCTCAGTCCCAACCTGAAAGGTGACCCAAAGTCCCCAGGAAGAGTGAGTTCTCCCTGCAGACTTACAAGGAAACTTCATCAGCCTGAGGAAGACAGGAGAGAAGAGCTGGTGACTCTCTGGGACCATAGCTGTTAGGACTGCCCTTGATCACTCCTTAGGAGCTCTGCTATTTCTATTCTAGTCTGATCCCATGGTACCTGCCACTCTCTTCATTAACAATTGGGATCAACAGAAGCCCAAAGACTGGGATATGGAAGTCCAAATGTGGAAGTTGCTTGTCCCCTTCTGCTTCCCATGTTAATTCCCCAGGCAACTCCAGTACCAAAGAACAGGGCCCTTGGGATTAGGAGCTGGGTGGCCCAGTAGGTCACAGATAATCTGGCTAGGTTAACCCCATCCTAATCTGACATCCCTCCCATCTGCCTTAATTCCTTGCCCCAGGAGACTCAGAATTTGGGCTGTGCCCTCAAACTATAGACTCCTGGTTCCATCTTTCAGCAAGGGCAACAGGAAATTATGGGCTAGAGAGGGAGAGTCCCCACAGCCTCCAAGGACCATTCTGGAGTGGTGTCCTCCTGGGGTCAGTTGACAGGCAAGCCCTGGGCCCTCATCCTCTCATGCCAGCTCTCATGGCCTCAGTTTGTGCCTCTGTTAATTTCACTTACCCTCTGACACTTTGTGCCCAAGATACACATCATGTTTGGGCTGCTGTGCCCCAGTCTTGCAAAACTGGCAGCCTTATCTTCTCCCACGGCCTGGAGTGATAACATGAGTCTTGGCCATAACCTTGCTCTGAAAGAAGAACAAGATAGATCAAATCTTCCCCCTGGATTTCAGCTCTTCATGGGGAGCAGAGTGGGCACAGAGCCAGGATCCTCCTGGCCTGTACCTACAATGAGTATGGCGAGGTGGGTAAGCCTAGTTGTGTCCTGTCCCACAGTTCCAAGGGCTAGAAATGGAAAACACTTTATCCTACTTATGCTGAATCATGAAATTCCTGTCCCTTTATGTGGAATGGGATGACTCCTGCCAGGACTAAGGGCTATAACTTGGAGATTTTGGCCTTACTCTCCTTTTTCCTTCCCCTACCAGGGGAGCCCCTTCCCATCGTCTCTAAGATGGACCTCCCATGGTAGCTACAGAAACAGGCAACCTGTGCTACCCAGAATGCAGACACATACAGGAATTGTTCCTGCCCAGGATGGGCTCCCCAGACCTTTGGCTCTGTGTCTACCCTGCTCTTCAGTCTAAGCACCAACCAGTAGTTTTCTAGAACCCTTGAGCCACTGGGCTTCCATGCTTCTGAGCTCTGGGACTAGGGAATCCTTGTGACTGAAACCCCAAATAACCAGAGATCAGGACAGGTCTCATCCACATCTTCCTACTTGGGGGCTCTGCAAGCCCAGATCCCCAAAATGGAGGCCTGTGCTGAGGCTGAGCCTAGCAACAGCCCTGAAGAGAGCATCTCTTAAAAAAACTCTGGACCCAGAGATGAGGCTCCAGGGATTAAGATACTGCAGGGACAACTCTAAAGATGACACTGAAGGACACACAAAAACTGGAAGGCCTCTGCTTCATGCTTAAGTGACTGTGAAACCTCTTTTGGGTCAGCGGTGGTGGCACCTTTGCCTGGGGACTCAGGCTTGGCCCTAACTGATGGGCCCATAGCACAAGACATGGATCCACCTGCTCCCAGCCCCACTGCTCTCACGTGCAGGCTTCTAGTCCTTTACTGTACGTGTGCAGACGCCTGTGGGTATGCGCCCTTCTTTGACTACATGGTCACTTCTCTGTGCACCTAATGTGTGTTCCTGGACTCCATGCTCATGTGCTGTATGTTCATGGTTTTGTTTCTGAGTTCGTATGTCCCTGTACACCTCAGCCCTGGGATTTGGGTCCCTGTGTGGTCAAGGGTTCAGGCTGGAAGGGGGTCCCTGGTGGTCCCGGGCAGGAACTATGGAAGGTGGTGGAGCCTGGCTGGGCCCCAGGCTCTGGGTCCTCATGTCCATGGAGGAGGCCGCAGGGCGGGCCGCCTGCGTCAGCCTTGAGCGGCCATCAATAGCACGCGGTTAATTAATTTGATGGGAACAGCAGGGACCGCCGTTTGCATTTAGTGAAGTTCCAGGAACTTCCAACCTCATCTTCATAATTGGCCTCATAAATTGTAAGAAAGAGAGAGATCAGCAAAGCGGGAGGGAGGAGGGGCCGCCCGTCCGTCCTTATTTAATTTTATTGCTGAAATTCATCTTTTTAGCCTCCTCCGCCTGAATCGGCTCTCCCAGCCGGATTTGCCTAATCATGATAAATTAATATTCATTTCCCCGCCTCTTACCCAGCTCCCGCGCTTGGATGGAGCTGGGGAGGGTCTCCTTCCAGCCCCTCTGCTAGGCCTTGGGGGCAGCCTGGCGGGTAGGGGCCCCCAAAGTGGAGCTTGTGTGCAGAACTGAAAATGGCCCCTGGGGAAGAAGGAGGAAAGGTTGGGAGAGAGATGGGGCCTCTGTTCCTTTGTGAGGAATGGGCCCCAGAGGTTGACTGGGACTCTCAGAGCATCCAGAAAATTGAGATACCACCCCTGCCCAGCCAGGGCTGAGTGGGAAGCAAGAAGGGCCTGAGAAAGACTTTGGAGGCCCAAAGGCCAAGACTCAGGGTAGGTTTGGAAGAAGGACCAAGGGCAGCTGGAATTGAGAAATGAATGAAGGTTGGTTGACCTTCTGTTTGTCCCATTCCATCCCCAGCTACATACAGGCCACCTTTCCCTCTGAAGACATCCCAGTTGTTGAGGCCTCAAGGTGCCCATGGCCTTTGACTGAAGTGACTCTCTACTCTTCAGCAGCCGACTGGATAGCTGGAACCCATATGCTGGGCATCTGTGCTGTGCTGTATGACTGTCACAGCTACTGCCTATCACTGCTAAGGCCTTTTTAGAGGTTGAGCTAGGAGTGTTAATTTCTATCCTTTTCCCTGAACATTGGGACCCCTGCAGTCCAAAGGATCAGAATGCCCCATGTCTTGTATCATAATTGTGTGAGAGACCTGGAATGGATTTTTCTGTTTCATCTAGCCCCTTGTCCCATTTACAGATAAAGAAAATTAGGGCCAGAGATGGGAAGTAACTAGCTCAAGGTGTCATAGATAGGAGCAAGAGATGCTTCTACTCCACCTTGGGAGGCTGAGCATAATGGGCAGGATTCTAGATTTCTGACCTCCAGTGACCCTTGTCCTTATCTTATCTCCTCCCTTTTGAGTATGGGTAGATCCTTCAATTATGATGAACTCCTATGGTTATGGTAAATTATGTGGCAAAAGGAACATTATGTGGGTGGGTTTGGTCTAACTATGAAAACCCTTTAAATTCTCTGGCTGGTAGCAGAAAGAGCAGTCAGAGAGATTCTGAGCATAAGGACCAGGGAAGTTTCCTGAGGGTCAACCAGAAAGGAAGAAGGACTTCAGTCTTGCAACCAAAAGGAACTGAAATCTGCCAGCAACAAGAATGTGCATGGAAGCAATTCTTCCCCAAAGTCCCAGAGAAGAGCCCAAGGTGGCCAAAGCTTTGATTTCAGCCTGTGGGACCCTAAGCAAAAGCTCAACTGAACGTGCCTGGACTCCTACCCTACATAAATGGTGTTGTTTGAAGGGGATACATTTGTGGAAATGTGTTATGCAGCTGTAGAAAGGAGATATGCAAAACCTAGGGAAAGGACATCTTAGGAGCTCCTATTAAGGGACAGAACAAAGTTGG